GAAAGTGGTTCAGAGAATCATGTATTTTTAAAGTCCCTTTTGAGCACCTATTATTTGCCACTATACATTGAAAGCCCAACAGACATGTCTGTCCTGCCCTCACGGAACTTAAGTTCTAGAGGGGAAAACAGACCCATATCGGATAATCACACAAATAAATGTAATATTCACAATCTACATACTAAGCACTCTGACAGACTGATTATGATACAGGAGTCTAGTGGGGAACTTGTCTTGAATGGGAGACAGGGCCACTGCCCTGGGGAATGAGTGGTACTTGAAATCCAAAGAATGAGTAGGAGTTAACAACTTAAGCAGGACTTGGAAGGAGGGAAGCTGGAGAGCATGGTGTTAGAGAAGTAGGGATTGAGAATTTGGATAACAGAGGAGTCAGCTGTCTAACCAAGGAGGACGGACAGTCACTGTTTTTACTCGAGTAGGCAGAATCTGACAGGAGGGTGAAAATAACCTCAGTCAAGCAAATAACGATCAACTGTGTGGATCTCTTAAGAAGAGAGAATATTCATGGAGATGGGGAGAGAAGAGAAATGTGTAGGTTAATTAGGAGATAGTTTGGATAGTCTGGAAAAGAAGACTGGAATTGTGGTAGTAGCAGTGAGAGTAGAAGACAGGAAAGGAAGGGATACATAATCTTTGGAGGAAGGCAGAATATCAGTGAAAACTCTGCCCCATAACTTGCTGTGAATGGAATCGTAACTCAGGATTCTTAGCTCAGTGTAATGGTGCACGCCTGTGGTCCTAGCTACTCGGGAGGCTGAGGTGGGAGGATTGCTTGAACCTGAAGGTCAAGGCTGCAGTGAGCCATGATCTCACCACTGTACTTCAGCCCGGATGACAGAGCTAGACTGTGTCTCTTTGAAAAAAAAGAAAAAAATAAAGATTCCTTATCAGTGGAATGGAGAGCTGGTTCCGATTTCTAGATCTGTGACTTTAGGTAACATAGTAAGTTATCTCTACCTTAGTTTCTCCTCTGTGAAATAAAAGTAATAGTAGTAACAACTTTATGCTATTTTCTGAGAACTAAGAAGGCTGATGTTTATAAACTCTGGCACAATGTCTGGAAAATGGCAGATATTCAATCCATCTAGCTATTATTATAACAGGTAATAATTTACTATTGTAAATAAATAAATTAAAATCCTGAGGTTTGGTAGAGGAGGAGTAATGAGGAGGAGATAGTCCTTCTCCCATCTGTGTGAGGGTTTCTTTTATGTTCTTAGTTGGGGTCTCTCCTCTAAATCCACTGCACCCAAACCCCAAATTATCAAGTCCTTGAGCACAGGGACGCTGCCATCCACTTCCCACCACTTAAGAGGCAGTGCCTGGCTCCAAAGTGATGGTTTTTGCTTAGTGATGATATTTGAAGCTGTAGGAGGGCATGAAATTGCCAAATTAAAGAATGAAGAGCTTGGCCATGGGAAACACCTGTATTTATTTACAGTGGAGAGAGAGAGGAGAGAGCAGTTGCTGCCAGAAAAACTAGGATAGTCAGTCTCTACAGCCCAGGAATGAAGGAGAGTTAGTGCTGCAAGCTGCATCAGAGTCTGGGAGGACAAGAAGACCAGAGAAAAGGACCAGATAGGATGAGAACATTTCCTCTCAGAGAGACAGTTTCAGGCACGTGTGAGGCAGAATCCGGATTGTAGAGTTAAAATGTAGGTGGTGGCGAGGAAGTGGAAGCACTGGTTGCTAGGTGCATGGATTTCTCTTTCAAGAAGTCAGTGGTAAAGGTAAGCAGAAGGAATAATTGCTTTCAATAAGTTGCAGACTTAAGAAAATTTATGGCTGTTGTTATGTTTGTTCTTGGGGAATTGGGGCATGCTGATCATGTTCACGGCTGCCTCCATTCACCTCAGGTCTGAGTGCCTTCAACCCCCTTCTGGGCACTCGGAACAAGACTAAGCTGTATGTGGTACATTCTGTGAATGACAAACTTTGAAAATGCAGGTATGAAGAAAAGAGTAGACAGTTTCCAATAATGGAAATTGAGGAAGGAGTTACAAGGCACCCTGGCACCCTTGTTAGGCTGGGTCCTGGAGGTCTGCTTTACCCAGACCTGAATACTAATCTCTGCATAGATAGGTGGGAACAGTCTGACTGAACTGTCTGTTCCTTTCTGCATACCTGCATTTTCAAAGTGTGTAGTTCACGGAATGTAACAGCTTGGTCTTGTTCCGAGTGCCCAGAAGAGGGTTGGAGGCACTCAGACATGAGCTGAATGGAGGCAGCCGTGAACATATTCACAAGAATGAAAGTATATTCATTTTAACTCTTCCCAACTGTCTCCTTGTAATGCATGTACGTTTTTGAGGCTTAACTGACTTTGATAGTTTTATGATAATTTATGTTTTTGCATGTGGGTGAGTTGGCCAGTGATCACATTGGTTCTATTTTGTTGTGAATAAATAGTATGTCAAAGTTTTATGCTGTTTCAAAAATGTTATTTAGAATAAAACTTCCTTTGAAGCCGCAGTAGTCTTACTCAAAATATTTATTTAGGCCATATTGTTTAAATATATATAATTCCCTTAAGGGACAATTGTAGTCTATATAAATCTGAATTTAAAACAAATAGACCTTCTGGAATTCATAGAAATACAAAATGGATATTCTAGTGCTTAAGTGTTTATATACAAAAGGAGTTGAGGTGTTCCAGTGTTTGTATGTTTAGATACAAAAAGAATAGAATTCACAAAAAGGAATGATGATCTAAAAAGTTGAATTCCCAAATGTACCAGATGTATAAAGTTATTTAGGAAGACAAAATATTTGAATCATAAACTAATTCAGAGTAAGTGAATGAATGATTCAACCAGTTAAAAAAAAAAAATACACATAAAAATAAAGCAAATCCACAGTCTCTTAATTTGTTCTGATCTTAAATTTGTTCTGGGTATAATTAAAGTTGATGAAAGTGTGCTTTAAACAATACAAAGTTAGGATATTTTTATAAAATAATTAAATATTATCAAATTAATGATTGAAATATTTGTGTCTTTTATGCTAGAGTTTATATTAACTGTCCTTGAAATACCATCTCACTTTATTGGCCCTCCCTTGATTTTGGTAAAGCAGAGGTATTTTTTTTTTAAAGCATTTATGAAAGCTTTTATTATTGCACTTCGAATTATATAAATGTTTTAATGTCAACATAGTTCCCATATCTAAATTTATAATTAGATAATTTGTAAAGTTCCTTGTTTTTAGTGGAAACGCTGTCCTCTAAGCTCTTTTTATTTTGGTCACCGTACAATCAAGTTGTGAGTTCATTAACTAATGGACATGTTATTTAAGTAACTGTTTCTAACTTGGGATGTTCTGATATATTTCTCAGTCAACAAATTATTGAAATTGAAATAAGAACTTCTGGAAGAAATATTTCTCCTTATAGTCTACAAATTAATCACTTCTATATACAACAAAGTTTACAACCTAGCTACAATTGGACCATATTTGGAAGAGAGATCCTGAAATATCAGGGAAGATTATACAATTAAATATTTCCCTAGTGGTAAACAGAAGCACAAATTAAAGATGGGGGTGAAGTATGAATGGAGTCTGCAGTGAGGACTCCAACATCTGAAACCAAATAGGGATCCATAGATTTAATGTTAATTAATAGAAGAGAAATATTTTACACGTGCCTGATCCAAAGCATAGGGAATGGTAGAAGCCCGCTCAGTCTTATTCTCTGTGAATGGAATTTGTCCCAATTACGTTAACAATATCCAAAATACTGCCTGTTACAAATGAGACAGTCTCTATAAAAATCCAAATGGTTCCAGAAGTATGAGCATCTGGAGCTGTGTAAGTGAGCATGGCTATCACGCACGGAGCTGCAGTTTCAGGTATCCCCATGCCCACCCCTCCACCCCAGAATCAGTAATCATTGATTGCATCTAAATCTGCAGAGAGATCTTTTCCTGGCAGTTCAAGTAGTTACAGTAGATTGTTAATCTGCGAATGATCAGACTAAATCCCTTCTGTCTTCAGAATTTCCATGCAAATTAGAATTAACTGTATGAGGTAAATTTATTAACTGTAGTCCGAGAGCATAGGTCAGCTTCAGCACAATTCTTAAACATACGTTTTTATTCATAAAAAGTTACACTCCATTTATGCTAATGTTCTATGGATTCATTTTATAATATTAACTGATGAGATGGTTTTTTAAAGTAGTTATAAGGAAATGAAAGATTTTTAAGTGTGTTTTTCAGTTTTCTGCAATACAGGTGTACTGTTCCAAATATAAAATATTCACAGAAATGATTTTTTCTGTTCCATGTCTGATCTAAAACCAAAAATTAAACTTATTTTCTTATGTCACCATTGAAATAAGAGGAGGATTGTTTTGTATTTTTCAAAACAGGAACGAAAATGGAATTAATAAAGAAAAAAATACTCAAGGAATTGGGATGTGCTAAATAATAACAGAAATATGTTAGGTCTTATTGATCACAGGAGTGTCTTTAAAATATATTTGAGAGTTTAGCACAACATTTAATTGAAATTCAGCAGAAGAAAAGTAATATTCTAATAATATTTGTGTGCCATATTTTACTTTCACAGACATTTCACTTGAATATTATTTTGTTACAATGTATTTTTTGCTTTATTGACAAGTGGATAAATTTAAGTGGAAATATATATTAGCAGCAATATACTTTTTCCTCTTTTGGATTTGTGATGTCATAAATCCAGTATCTTATAGAATATGTAGTCCTTTATTTTTATTCTAAGTTTGTAATCTAAAGGTTACTATGAATGACCTAAAACATTGTATTAGTGAATGAGCTTTGTTTTCTTTACCTTTTTTTATAAGAGATTGTGGCGATATCTAAATTTATTTTTAAAACCCTCCAGGCCCCTGCCATCATAAAGCCTTTAAAAATGGAAGTGGGCATTATTTATTAAAATGGTGAAAAGAGTATAGTATCTTTGAACAGATGCTGACCTTTTTTTCCTCCTTTATTTTTCAGGCCATCCGTTGCACACTGGTAAACTGCACATGTGAATGTTTTCAGCCAGGGAAGATTAACCTGAGGACTTGTGATCAGTGTAAACATGGCTGGGTGGCACATGGTGAGGAAAATCTGGGCTTTTCTTCCTGTTCTTATTATGTTCGTGTTCGTGTGTGTGTGTGTGTGTGTGTGTGTGTGTGTGTGTGTGTCTGTTTAGAGCAGTCACTGGCCTGGAGAAGAGAGAGGTCAGCTATGCTCCAAGTGTTAGTTAAGATTCAGCCTGTGGCTCTCAAACAGCATATTCTCAGCTCCAAGAAGCAGTGCTAGGCAAGCAGCTCTCAGCAGAAGGCCAAGACGTTTATAGGACAGTTGGGCTGTGGAGTTCTTACTGAGCATGGGCACAGCCAGCAAACACCAGGCCTGATGGAAACTCAAACATACCACAGTTGGCCTTTCAGGGCCTGGACCTCAGAGGGAAGCTGGCAAATCCTCCTTGCTTGAGAACTCCTCGATGACTGCTCACCCTTGTCGTATGTGCTAGGGGCTGAGTTTATCCTTCTAGATGTTAAATGTTGTATGGTCTCAGGTGGATGAGAGAGTGAACGGGAACATTATTTGGCTGGTATCTGAAAATATAACCTGTAAATACTCCCTTTCAGTGTGCATGGGGATTGGAGGTGGTCGACGTAGGTAGAGTGTGAGCTCTGTGTAGGTGTGTCCCGGGGTGGGGAGACCCCATGCGAAGGATATGAGTGTTGAGGCTTTTTGCCAGGTGCACAGAGCCGTTCTGTCGGTGTGCCCTGACTGAGCGTTCAGCATATTCCTGTGTATGGTTTATGTTTGTTCTGTTTAAGTAAAAGGAGACTTGGAAATAAGTAGACTTTCTTCTTTTTTTTTTTTTTTTTTTCACCTCCCAGACTGTAGAATTTAAAAAGATAGGTAATGTTTATGAAAAGAAATCCTGGCTTGAGATTTTTGGATAGCCCCGGGTATTGCCTCTTAAGTGGACATATTCTTCATTCCCAGGTGGTGCCAAACATCCAGTGGGTTGTATTTTTATAAATGTCATGTTATTCTAGCAAGATCTGAGGTAACAACACTGGGCCATGCCTTGAAATGCTTTTAATTTATCATGTACCTTGCTCGTGAGAGTGTGTATGCTGGAGTTGTGGGGACATTTCAGCCATGTTTCTGTGAGAGAGAGTACTCTGAGAGGAATACCCGGGAAGGGGTATGTTTCCACCAGGCAACCTCAATCCTGCAATCCTTCATGCCCACAGGGATAGAGCGCTTTCCTGCTTTATTAACAAGGCCCCAGATCAGCAACAATTCTCAGTCCGGTCTTGAACAACAGACGAGCTGCAGTTAGTTCTGCAGTCTCTTTATGTTACTACATTCAGTGATATCGTCTCTCGTCCTATATTAGTTTGCTGGGGCTGCCATGACAAAATACCACAGGCTGGGTGGCTTAGACAGCAGAAATTTATATCCTCAAGGCTCTGGAGGCTAGAATTCCAAGATCAAAGTGTTGGCAGGGTTGGTTTCATTCTGAGGCTTCTCCTCCTCGTTTGTAGATGGGCACCCTCACATGGTCTCTCGTCTGTGGGGCATGCCCTGGTGTCTGCAACCTCCACCTCCAGGGTTCAAGCCATTCTCCTTCCTCAGCCTTCTGAGTAGCTGGGATTACAGGCATGAGCCACCACGCCCAGCTTATTTTTGTATTTTTAGTAGAGATGGGTTTTCACCAGGTTGGCCAGGCTGGTCTCGAACTCCTGACCTCATGATCTGCCCTCCTCAGCCTCCCAGAGTGCTGGGATTATAGGTGTGAGCCACTGTGCCCAGCCCGGGTGTCTTCTTGTGCGTCAAATTTCCTCTTCTAAGGACATCAGTCAGATTGGATTAGGGTCCACCCTAAGGGCCTCATTTTAACTTAATCACCTCTTTAAAGACCCTATATTCAAATATAGTCACGTTCTGAGGTAGTAGGGGTTATGACTTCAACATAGGAATTTTGGGGGAACACAGTTCAGCCCATAACAGTTCCTAAATAAACTTTTTTTCTCTGAGGAAGTGTTGGTTTTGCCAGGTAATAGGTACAGAACTTATGTCCTAAACCCATCAGAATTGTAAGAATATTGAAGGCAGTATGGGTGTAGACTGTTCTGAGGTCAAATCTTGGCTCTGTCACTTCATGACATGTTAGTATCGCTGGACTTCACTTTTCTTGTCTGTAAAATAGGATTAATAGTACCTACTTTACAGTCTTACTATGACAAAGAGAAAATATATGAAGCCTTTCCAAATAATGCATATTAAAAGTACAATGGACAGTAGATGAGCAGTAAAGGGGAGGCCAGTCATTAATCAAAGGGCTTTTCATTTATTCGCTCTCATTTTTGCCAAAGCCATCTTATATTATCATTATCTATCTACTATGGCAGCCTTGTGAGTGTAAAAGTTAACTGTGTCACCAGTTTGTTTTCTCTATTTAATGTCCATGTGCATATTACATTAGTAATGTAAAAGTAAAAGCAATGTTTTTTCCTTCTTGAACAACATAAATTATTCCTGGCCAGTGATTGTTTTGAGGACTTTCTGAAGAATGTCATTTTTCACCCAACTTGAATAAGATGTTTCTGTTACACCAGACTGTGCTTTTCCTACTGTACCATTAAAAATTCTATGTTTCTGGGATATTAATTTTGGTGTTTCTCAGACCTTAGTAAAATGAAATTTTTTTTTTTTTTTTTTTGAGACGGAGCCTCGCTCTGCCGCCCAGGCTGGAGTGCAGTGGCCGGATCTCAGCTCACTGCAAGCTCCGCCTCCCGGGTTCACGCCATTCTCCTGCCTCAGCCTCCCGAGCAGCTAGGACTACAGGCGCCCGCCACCATGCCCGGCTAGTTTTTTGTATTTTTAAAGTAGAGACGGGGTTTCACCGTGTCAGCCAGGATGGTCTCAATCTCCTGACCTCGTGATCCGCCCGTCTCGGCCTCCCAAAGTGCTGGGATTACAGGCTTGAGCCACCGCGCCCGGCCAGTAAAATGAATTCTAATTCTTTCCCTTATGATTATCACCTTGACCTCTCTTTTCTCACAACAGGGAGATATCTGTATATAGCTCAAAATACATACACCCAGGCATGCGAATCCCACACTCTCCCCATTCGTGAGGCCAAATACAGCAGTGAGGGCTTGGCCTCTAGCCTTGGAGTTGGCAGCGGGATGAGAGCACCCACTCTTTTTGCCCCTAGCATTACAGCTAATTGCTTCATTCCACCCCGCCTGCACAGAAACCCTGAAATCATGTCTCTAGTTACTTCTGCTTAGAGGTGAAACACAGCATTCTTTCCGGCTGCCTTATACTGTGCAGTGTCCTGGGTGTGGGGCAAGAAGGAAGTGACTTGGGTTTTCTAGTGTGTAATTTTCCTCTGAAATGCATGGAGCAGCAACAAGACTACCAAAATACATTGCCCAGAATGGTTTCATAGTAGCACTGAATGCATTCTACCTGTCATTATGTCAATAAAAGAAAATTTAATATCTGCTGCTAAAAAATAATCAAATGCCAAAATCATGTATTCTCTCTAAAATTAATTTTTAGAAATTTGTTGACCTCCTTTCTTGAATAAATTTTCCTTGTTAGCAGCATTTTCAGTTCATTCCTAAGATGTTGGATTTCATGGGTCATTATATACCATATCTATGCACATATGTGTGTCTCTGTATATGTACACACACATAAACACGCATTCTCTCTGTTGACCTAGATTGCTTATTAAAGCTGCTTAAGTTGTTGACATTAGCTGCTTTACAAAAATCTTTAGAAATGTGTTTTAAAAATAATTAAAGGCTGGGCGTGGTGTGTCTGACAGCCTGTAATCTCAGCGCTTTGTAAGGTTGAGGCAGGTGGATCACTTGAGCCCAGGAGTTCAAGACCAACCTGGGCAACATGGCAAAATCTTGTCTCTACAAAAAGTACAAAAATTAGCCTGGTGCGGTTGCATGTGCTCTCAGTCCCAACTACTTTGGAGGCTGGGGTGGGAGGTTTGATTGAACCCAGGAGGTCAAGGCTGCAGTGAGCTGAGATCACGCTACCACTTTCCAGTCTGGGTGACAGAGCAAGACTCTGTCTCAAAAATAAATAAATAAATAAATAAATAGTGATTAATTCATTATACTGCAACACCTGGGTTTTGGAATTACTAATACTTAGTGAGCTGTGTTACTTTTCACAGAGTATTTCCTTAAAATCCTTAGCACTATTGAGTTAAGGGGGGAAGGAATATCAGAGCAGTTCTGAATATCAGTAGGTATTTCCCATTAAATTAATAAAGGATTTCCTACCTTACCACCACCCTGTCCACATTAAGGAATCTTAGCTCTTTCACTCTGCTAATAGAAAGCAGGGCTTATTGAATTTACTTAAACTTTTTTTTTTTGGTAAATGATGACCATACCTAGTCTGAAATATTTTAGTTGGTGGGCCAGCATTGACTCAGAATTTCTAATTTTGTCAAGTCTCCGTAAAAGTACTCCAGTTTACTGCCACTACTTCACTGAAATACTATAAATACTATATTTTTTACTTTCCCTTGTTTGCTTTATCTTCTCTGTGCTTTTCCTTCGTTCGCCTAAAAAGATCTGAGTATGGCTTGAAAAACAGTAACAACGAAAGTTTTCTAGAAGTTCAACTCTTTTTGGTTCAGAAGTGGCAAATAAGATTAAGATACCAGGGTAAGAGCAGTAATGGGCTCCTTTTCTGGTGATGTAATTTTTTTTTTCTTTTTACCCTTTGCCTCCACACTAGAGTAGTAATTTGGCCATTCACAGAATTCAGACTTCAGCCAAATATTTTACAGAATATTAAAAATTAGCTGGTACAACTAGAATACACTCAGCATTGGGTACAGGTGGAAGTGAGTCCTACTTACTTTTCTCCCTTGATGAATACCTGCTTCTGATGGGAAGCATTACCAATAAGAGTTTGCTGTCTTTGTGAAAAAAACAGGAGGCTTGATGTAAAAGTTGAGGACTGCTGCACGAAACCTTTTTTATTGTTTAATGTTTGCAAGTTAGTTTTAATGTCCATAGTTTAGATGAAGACTTTATTTCTAAACCATTA